AATTCTGGTAGAATTCCTGGGCAAAACCAACTTGCCCTTAAAGAATAATTTTCCCTCCTTCAGTTCATACTCCTTCAAGCTGTCAGGGTCAGTGATCAATTTTTGTATTAAAGTTTGCATTTCAGCATCCTCCAAGAACTCCTCTTCCCATTTCTGCCACTCCTCCATTTCCACCCTTGATATGGCAGCATACATCATCTGCCTTGAAAGCCCATCTGCAGCCTTATTCTCATAACCAGGCTTGTAGTGGATTTCAAAATCAAATCCCAACAGTTTGGTGGTCCACTTGTGATGCTCCTCTCCCAACAATTTCTGCTCAGTAAGAAATTTAAGGCTTCTCTGGTTGGTTTTTATAATGAATTTCCTACCCATCAAGTAATGTCTCCATTTCTGGACAGCCAACACAATTGCCATTAATTCCCTTTCATAAACTGATTTCTTCTGTGCCTTTTCAGATAATGCTTTACTCATAAAGGCTAATGGTCTGCCCTCTTGTAACAACACTGCCCCTATTCCTCTGCTAGAAGCGTCAGACTCCACTACAAACTGCTTGGAAAAGTTCGGTACTGCCAGTATAGGTAATGCTGCCATGGCCTGTTTAAGTGTCTCAAAAGCTTTGGTAGCTTCCCCATTCCACACAAAAGCGTCTTTCTTCAACAATTCTGTTAGAGGTCTAGACGTCTCCCCATAACCACGAACAAACCTCCTATAGTAGGTGCAAGATATGCTGAGAACCGGAATAATCAGCCCTTATGCTAGTCCTATTATTTTGGTAAAAAAGAAGGACGGAAGTTGGCGGGTTTGTGTGGATTACAGAGCATTGAATAAGGTAACCATACCAGATAAATTTCCAATTCCAGTTATTGATGAACTGTTGGATGAACTGTATGGGGCCATCGTATTTTCTAAATTGGATTTGAAATCGGGCTATCATCAAATTCGAATGAGAGAAGAGGATATTCACAAGACTGCTTTTAGAACACATGAGGGGCACTATAAATATTTGGTAATGCCTTTCAGCCTTACCAATGCTCCTTCAACATTCCAAGGGTTAATGAACGAAGTTTTATAGATTGATTTTATTTGTGTTTTAGTGGATAGACTCGTCAAGTTTACTTGTCTTACCATTAGAAATCCTTTGATGAGTATATCAGTAAGGTAGTGAGATTGCATAAGGATTCGAGAGTGAGAAGAGAGAAGTCTACCCTTACAAAAATTTCGGGGACGAAATTTCTTAAAGGAGGGGAGTATTGTAACAGCCCATTTTTCGCTGGGCCTTAGGCCCAATTCGTGCCCGGAACGGGCCGTTTCAAAAGTGAAACGGGCCGTTCTGAAATAAAGAAAGTGGCTAAATTTTAAGTTTCGGAACGGGTCTGGAACGGGCTGTTCTCCAAAGGAGAACGGGGCGTTCTGCTTGAAGAACGGGCCGTTCTGCTTGAAGAACGGGGCGTTCTCCTTGCAGATGATGTTGAGATTGACATGAGTTATGAATGGTGAAATAATTGTTTTAATGATGTGAATGAGAAAAGGTATAAATGATTTTGTTAATTATAAAATCTAAGTGGATTATGATGAATTGATAAACTATGATACATGATCGTAAATAATTTATTAAATAAAGAAATATGATGAGATTTTAACATGGTGTGTTTGGATGTACTTTGCATATAGATATCTTCTTTTCTCACCGTATAAATTGTGGATTTTTTAGGTGGAGAAGATCCGGCTACGAGTGGCATCTAGAATGCCAACTGTTTTATTTTGGGAAATGCTCTGATATTGTGACATCGGGGCAAAGGATTTTTAGGATGAAATATTTATGTGAATTTGGTACTGTAATATTATTTTGAAAACAATTTGTAAAGAATCTTGTGTTTTATGTTTGATATTTCAATTAGTGTAGTTGTTGAAGTTTCTTATGTGAACCCTTTTACTGTAACTGAAAAGATTTATTACAATATACATGTTGGGGTAGTAAGGGTGTCACAGAAAATTCTTGAAGTACTTGAAAAGTCACTTCAAAAAATCCTCCAAAATCGGATGGGTTTGGATGAGATTGTTTTATTAATTTGATATTTATAGATATCACTAAAAAGTCCTTCAAAATCTCTCTAATACAACAATCCTTTAAAATCCTTATATTTTTTTAATATCAATGGATTATTTTTAAGTTGTAAAAAGTCTCAAATGAATACTAATGAGTTTTAATGAACTTTTAAAACATCTTAAAAATCCAGATTAAATACCACTGAATTATTTTTAAGTGACATAAAATCTTGATTAAATACCAATGAATTATTTTACTTAAAATAAGTTTTTTAAAATCCAATGAAATCTTAAACCAATACACCCCCTAAGAGTAACTTTTGGTGAAATTACTCTATTTAATAACTCATGGTGTGTGTTAAATTTCAATTGTCGACCTGTTAAATTAAAAGTTTTTAACACATAAATTAAATCTATAAATTTTTAAAAATTTAAAAACTATTTGATACTTCTTATAATTAATTTAAATTGATAGATAATTATAAAAATATTTTATACGTTAATTTGAATTTATATAACGAAATATCACATGATTTTGATTTTTTTTTTAATTTGTAGACTTAACCTATCTATTAAGAACTTTTAATTTAATAATCCGATCACTTAAATTCAACACATACTATTTGTTATCGTCTTATCGAGTTAAGTAACTTATTTTACAAGATTGAAATACCTAAGTTTCGAAAATCAAATTTGCAGCTTCCTATATACTAACCATTTGACATAACCACGTACCTTTGTGTTTTCTTCCAAAGGTGATAAAATTTCTTCAAAATGGTGGTGTTTGTTGGCATCAATTGATGAAAGTGATGAAAGATGAAATTAAGCAACGTGCAAATATAGTGTTTACTGTAAAGTGGAAGGAACATCACATGAGCATTATGCAAATACAGAGTTTGCGTCAAAGTGGGAAATGAAGAAGCATGTTAGTTGTTTAATGAGTAATTAAATATGAACCATTAAATTAAATATGAAATTAACTCCTCTCACTCTCACATATGAAATCCCTCTCTAAATATAATAATATCGGTATAACTTTTATTAAGTATTACACCATTCAATAACTTTATATTAAATGTGAATTTTGTAAATCCAACCATTGAATTAAAACTTCATATCACTTTATATTTTTATATCAAATTTTGTTAAAATTGAATAACTTAAAGGTAATAAAAATGTTCATATTTGATTATATTTTAAAATATATATTACATCAATTTTATTTTAAAAGAATGAAGTATCAAATCATCTTGGATTAATATAAAATTTTATATATATGATCTAAGAGTAAAAAACTTTCAATTTTACGGTTGAATTTATAAAATTCACAATATAAAATTAAACGGTGTAATACTTAGTAAAAATTACATCGGTGTTGTTTGAATATATATATATATATATATATCTATCTTTATATATATATATATATATATATATATATGAAGATTTACTTACTCTAAATGTAAGTTTACCTAAACTTACTTTACTAAATAACTCATGTTTTGCTCAAATTTCAATAATCTAACCGTTAAATTAAAAGTTATTAAAATATAGACCAAGTTTCAAATTTTTTTAAAAATTCATAATTATTTAATACTTTGTTTCATTAATTCTAATTGACAGATAAACATAAAAATATTTTATATGTTGATTTAAATTTATATAATAAAATATCAAATATTTTTAAAAATTTACATACTTAATCTATATATTAAGAATTTTTATTTAATGGTTGAATTATTAAAATTTAATGTAGAATATGTTATTGAATAGACTTATTCTTGAAATAAGTGAATTTATCTATATATATATATATATATATTCAAACTATTTTGCAGATAATAAAGTCAAATAAAAAAATTGTAACATTTTGGCCGAATTCTTTTTTCTCAACTACAACTAATCAATATTTTTTTTTAAATCAAGTAAACTAATATTAAAAAAAATGAATGTAATAACAAACTACTTCCTCCTATGTTTATTTTAAAACAATTTAGAAGAAAATTGTGATAAATTTTTATAAAATATTGATTTTATTTTTAATTTTTTCTATTAATTATTGTGAGTATGGGTTTATTATTGTTGGATAATAAAAAGGAATTTAAAAAATAATTATTCTCTCTTAACTCTTATACTCTCCAATTCTTTTATCTCTTATATTCTCCAATCGTTATTTATCAATTTTTTTTAGTATTTTTAAATTTTTTGATATTTGATATGAAGTCAATCTTCACCTTTTCATAATAACAAGAGTAAAATTAATATTTCTATACCATAAATTTATTTTATAAATTTAATAAAATCAACTATTTATATAGATGCGTATAATTCAGTCAAAAGTATAATAACTATTAGATAAAATATATTAAAAACAAAACATTATTTTTAAATCAGCTTCACAGATGAATATTTTGATGTTCAACAGATGCAACCTAAAACAGCTTGTTAAAAATAAAAAGTTGTTTTATATTTTTCCTCAAGTAATTAGCCCATCCGTTTGACACTTCGTAAAACATAAACGAAAATATAGAAGAAAAAACTAACTAATATTTTTCTCCTATTTATTTATAATCTTGAATTAATTTTTGAGACTAATCTTTTATATCTTCTTTTGTTTTAATATAATTTTTTTTTGTTGAATCACTAATAACCAAAATATAGTATAATCTCGTAACTAAATCGTAATTTTATAATAAAATGTATAAAACTAAATTAACACTAAATTTACCTTGAAAATAAAAATTATTCATCCTAATTTAGTTAAGTTGCTTAAAATACATAAAACTAAATTAACACCTAAATATTTAATCATCTTTTTTTTTTTTTTTTTCCCCCATTTTGAAGTATATGACTAGTCTCCGAATAAGATTAATAATTTATTCCCTATGCAAGAGCACAGAAATAATTGTATTTAAAGTTTCGGCGGTGCTGGCAGGTGCCGGTTACTAGGAATATAAGAGAACTCAGCTGATATTGCAAATCTAATCAAACGATTGAAATGGCAATGGCATACACCAGAAAAATGATGATACAACTATTCACAATGCTCAAGTGTCCTACAAGAAGATTTACTGACTCACCCTCTCCACGAAATTTAAAAGCATATAGATCGAATCTCCAAATACAACTAACTATATTCCAGTATTAGGATTGTTCCCAGCTAGGATTAGAGAAATTTCTAACCCTCGGCTAAAAGCCTGGTTAAACATGAGGCGAGTTTGGAAAGTTGATACAAATGGGAACCACGAAAAGAGTGCAATGGGTACGAAGATCATCATTCCCATGCCGGCGTCATACAGGCGAGCAATGGATCGAACGGATTTCCATAATCCTAGCTTCTTCATCACAGGCTTCCAGGCAGCAGCAATCTGAACCAGAATTAAAGTCATGTTAAAACCATTGTATACAACAAAATCAGCTCCATAAATGGTTCAGAGGGAAAGAAAACTCACAGACAGAATTCCCCATCCAGTAGGAATGAAAGCCAACAGAGAAGCAAATATGTCAGCTACAGACAGATCGGTTAATATAACTGCTACAGCTAAACCAGCCAATGCCATCAGAAGGGCCACTCCTTGTATAAAACGCAGAAGAAGCTGGAAATTGACTGATATCTTCTGGCTAAAGGTGAATACCTGTTGAATAAGAATCAAAGATGGCATCAAGATACACAATTACCAATATAAAGTCATTTAAATGGAGCCCACAAGCAATGCATATTTTTCACCTTGAAAAGGATAATAATCACAGCCAGAACTATCCACGAGAGTCCATAAATCTATACAAAATGCCAAACATAAGTAGTCAAGTCAGAAACCTGTGCATATTCTGCAAATGTAGGTATCGCAAAAGAATTGCATGCCAACACTGGTCAAATATAGAACAAATCAAGCCATCCAAAGCACAACACACACACACATAATATTTAAACATAACCAGTGAAGTCAATTCTCAGAAAACAAATAACATCACTGCAGAAAGCTCTGGTAGATACCTAGGAAGCATCATGCATGGTCCAATAGACATGGCAAATATCCCCCTACCCAACATGTACCCGTCCAAACCTGTCTCAACTTTGACAGTTTCCCCACACTTTGACCAGGGCTGGGGTCAGGTTTTTACCGAGTGTGATGGGGAGGATCATATCCACCTCTGTGCCCACCAGCTAAAATTGAAATTACAAAATTATCCTTAAATATCTTTAAATGCACGTGTTGGTACAGGCTTTTTGATTCCCCTAAACTGATCTCTACGTTCATCTACTCATATCTCCGGTTGCGTTAATTGCACTTTGAATTTCAGTTTTTTCTGTTGATTTTGATATTCTTCCTTTTGTGGAACAGAATTCAGTGTGGGAAGATGAGCACAAAGCGGAGTCTTTTGTTGAGTTAGGGTTTTGCTGTTGGGGTGTTGTTTGAGCACAAAGTTGCGTCTTTTTTCCCTTTTCACATTTTTTATTTATTTATTTAAATGTGATAGGGGACCTGTGGTTAAACAGGTCTATGTTAGGAGGGAAAAGGGGGGTAGTTAGTTATTTTTGTAACTAACTGATGACGGTCGGGTAGGGACTGTTAAATTGTATAAATAGGAGGGAATAAGGGGGAGGAAGGGATTCGGAAGTATTGTATTCTGGGAGAGATAGGCACTCTCGAATTGCCTAGTTTCACTGTATTCTGTCCTTCTGGTTGTGTTGACAGCAAGGACTCGAGCAATAATACTACAATCTTTCGTTATTTTTCAATTCTCTCTTAATATCCAGTTGAGACCTATCAACTGGCATCAGAGCTGGTTGCGAACCTGAGGCGATCAAGAATGGAGAAGAAAATGGAGATTCGGTTGGAACAGGTGGAAAGGGGCTTGCAAGACATACACAAACGTGCAGCAGAAGAAACTGAATGGCGACGCAACATAGAGGGGGCGATGCGCGAGATGCTGGAACAGTTGAAGGAATTGCTTGGGACAGCGGGAAGAAATGGCAGAGAGGGTGACGAAATTCCATTGGTAACAGGAACGGAAAAGAACGGGTGGAAATGGCGAAACCTAGAACTTCCTCTATTTCAGGGGGATGAAGTGATGGGCTGGGTGGGAAAGATGGAGAGATATTTCAGGTTGAAAGGCGTCTTGGAGGACGAGAAGGTGGAGGTGGCAATGGTGGCGCTGCAAGGGAAGGCGCTGGCGTGGTTTCAATGTGGGAAAGTAGAAATCAAAATCCCTCATGGATGGATTTCAAAGGTTCGTTGCTGAGAAGATTTCAGCCCGTGGTGGCACAAAACCCTTTTGAGGTGCTGTTGGGCCTTAAGCAGCGTGGCTGAGTATAGGGAGAAATTTGACACCAATTCAGGACCTCTCAAGATTGGGGATGCAAATTATTTGAAGGGCATTTTCTTGAATGGTCTCAAGGAGGAGGTTAAAGTGGTATTGAGGTTGCATCAACCTAATTCGTTGGAGGAAACCATGGACTTGGCTCTTTTGATAGATTCTCGAAATTAAATTTGGAAGAAGGAAGTGGGGGAATCGTCGATGACCATTCACAAGGGAGGATGGCAGGAACATCTATGGCAATCAGAGGGACGAAGAGAAGAAAAGAAATGATGAAACCACTGAAATGAAAAGGGAGGAGAGTAGGAAAGGGGAAGGAAAGCTGAATTGGAAAAATATGACGGATGCGGAGTACCAAGAAAGGAGGAGAAAGGGAATTTGTTTCAGATGTGAAGAAAAATACTCTCCTGGGCATGTGTGTAAAAACAAGCAAATTAGAATAATGTTGCTTGAAGAGGGCGTGGAAGAGAAGGAGGAAGAAGAGGAGATCCAATGGAGTGGTAAGTCTTCCACCACGACATTAGATTTTCGTAGTATGGTGGGAATGACTTCCAAACATTCGTTCAAATTTTGGGGAAAGATAGGGGATAATTCAATCTTGATTTTGATTGATTGTGGAGCTTCCCACAATTTCATTGCTGAATCGGTGGTGAAGAAAACAGAACAGTATTGGGTGAAGGTAAGGGATGGTCATAGTGTGAGGGCGCAGGGAATGTGCGCAGGGGTGGAGTTGGAGGTGCAAGGGGTGTCCGTGAGGCAAAATTTTTATTTGTTTGCCTTAGAGGGAGTCGACGTGATATTGGGAATGGAATGGTTGAGGGGACTGGGAGAAATCAAGGCTAATTTTGATAAATTTACCTTGAAAATCAGGGTAGGGGGGGGAGTTTATCAGATCAAGGGAGATTCTTCCTTGAGTATAGCAAAAGTGCCATTGAAAGGTACCCTCAAGCAATTGAAGGAGGAGGAAGAAATCTACTGGGTGGAGTGTTGTGTGGCAGAAACAGGACCGGGGGAGAAGATGAGAGCAGTCCCAGAAAGCATAAAACAAATATTGGAGGAGTTTAACGAGGTTTTCCGGGAACCCCAGGGGTTGCCTCCTTCAAGAGGGCAAGATCATGCTATCAATTTGAAGGAAGGGGCAGAGATTCCTAACCTCAGACCCTATAGGTACCCTTATTACCAGAAAAATGAGATTGAAAAATTGGTGCAAGATATGCTGAGAACCGGAATAATCAGCCCTTATGCTAGTCCTATTATTTTGGTAAAAAAGACGGAAGGAAGTTGGGGGGTTTGTGTGGATTAAAGAGCATTGAATAAGGTAACCATACCAGATAAATTTCCAATTCCAGTTATTGATGAACTGTTGGATGAACTGTATGGGGCCATCGTATTTTCTAAATTGGATTTGAAATCGGGCTATCATCAGATTCGAATGAGAGAAGAGGATATTCACAAGACTGCTTTTAGAACACATGAGGGGCACTATAAATATTTGGTAATGCCTTTCAGCCTTACCAATGCTCCTTCAACATTCCAAGGGTTAATGAACGAAGTATTACGACCATTTTTGAGGAAGTTTGTGTTAGAATTTTTTAATGACATTCTAGTGTATAGCAGGGACGAGGAAGAACATCAACACCACTTACGACAAGTGCTGACATGTCTGCGGGAAAATTCGTTAGTGGCTAATGGGAAGAAGTGAGTTTACAAGGTCTCATATGGAGTATTTGGGTCATGTCATTTCGGCCGAAGGAGTAGCAGCAAACCTTTCTAAGGTAGAAGTCATGCTCAAGTGGCCTCAACCCACGATCCTCAAGGGTTTGAGGGGTTTTTTGGGTCTTACGGGTTACTATAGGAGGTTTGTTCGTGGTTATGGGGAGACGTCTAGACCTCTAACAGAATTGTTGAAGAAAGACGCTTTTGTGTGGAATAGGGAAGCTACCAAAGCTTTTGAGACACTTAAACAGGCCATGGCAGCATTACCTATACTGGCAGTACCGAACTTTTCCAAGCAGTTTGTAGTGGAGTCTGACGCTTCTAGCAGAGGAATAGGGGTAGTGTTGTTACAAGAGGGCAGACCATTAGCCTTTATGAGTAAAGCATTATCTGAAAAGGCACAGAAGAAATCAGTTTATGAAAGGGAATTAATGGCAATTGTGTTGGCTGTCCAGAAATGGAGACATTACTTGATGGGTAGGAAATTCATTATAAAAACCGACCAGAGAAGCCTTAAATTTCTTACTAAGTAGAAATTGTTGGGAGAGGAGCATCACAAGTGGACCACCAAACTGTTGGGATTTGATTTTGAAATCCACTACAAGCCTGGTTATGAGAATAAGGCTGCAGATGGGCTTTCAAGGCAGATGATGTATGCTGCCATATCAAGGGTGGAAATGGAGGAGTGGCAGAAATGGGAAGAGGAGTTCTTGGAGGATGCTGAAATGCAAACTTTAATACAAAAATTGATCACTGACCCTGACAGCTTGAAGGAGTATGAACTGAAGGAGGGAAAATTATTCTTTAAGGGCAAGTTGGTTTTGCCCAGGAATTCTACCAGAATTCCTCTTATCATTCAGGAGTTTCATGAGACGGCTATGGGGGGGACATGCTGGAGTGTTCAAAACCTTCAAGAGGGTGTCGGCTGTATTTCTCTGGAAGGGAATGAAGAATGATATCACTAAATTCGTGACCGAATGTCACATCTGCCAGACTAATAAATATCAAACATTGGCTCCAGGGGGATTGCTGCAACCCTTACCAATCCCTACCCAAATTTGGACTGACCTTTCCATGGATTTCATTGGTGGACTCCCAAGAGCTTCGGGCAAGGATACAGTTTTGGTGGTAGTAGACAGGTTATCTAAGTATGCCCACTTCTTACCCCTATCCCATCCTTTTTCAGCACAGGAGGTAGCCCAAATGTTCATTCGGGAAGTAGTGCGACTGCATGGGTTTCCCGAGTCCATTGTCACGGATAGGGACAAGTTATTTTTGAGTCAATTCTGGTCAGAATTGTTTAAATCAGCAGGCACTAAATTGAAATATACTTCGGCCTATCATCCCCAATCGGACGGACAAACGGAAGTGGTTAATAGGTGCTTGGAGGATTATTTGAGGTGCTTCGTGGGCGATAAACCCAAGCAATGGCCTAGGTGGCTAGCTTGGGCAGAATTTTGTTTCAACACACATTATAATCAGTCGGCGGGTATGACTCCATTCAAGGCGGTGTATGGAAGGGATCCCCCAGCGATTTTTAAGGCTCCAACCTTTCCGTCCAAAGTGGAATCCGTGAATGTAATGGCAGAAGAGAGAGATGGAGTTTTGGAGGAGTTAAAGGCGAACATTGGTAAGGCACAGCATAGGATGAAACAGCAAGCAGATAGGAAGAGAAGAGATGTTAACTTTGAGGTGGGCGATTGGGTTTATCTCAAAGCCCAACCTTATAGACTCAAATCGTTAGCGAAAAGGAGAAATGAGAAATTAGGCCCGAGATACTATGGTCCTTTTCGGGTGTTGGCTAAGGTTGGTGCTGTGGCTTACAAGTTGCAATTACCGGAGAGCAGTAGAATTCATCCAGTCTTCCACGTCAGTAAATTAAAGAAGGCCGTCCCGCTGGAGAAGCAAGTACAGTCCCTTCCGGAGGAAATTTCTGTAGATTGGGAATTGCAGCCACAGCCTGCAGAACTCTTATCTTACAGGTACAGCAGAACTGGAGAACTGGAGGTGCTCATTCAGTGGCACAACCTACCGGACTGTGAGAATTCGTGGGAGACAGCAACCAAGATGCAGACTGCATTTCCACAATTCCAAGGATACAGTTTTGGTGGTAGTAGACAGGTTATCTAAGTATGCCCACTTCTTACCCCTATCCCATCCTTTTTCAGCACAGGAGGTAGCCCAAATGTTCATTCGGGAAGTAGTGCGACTGCATGGGTTTCCCGAGTCCATTGTCACGGATAGGGACAAGTTATTTTTGAGTCAATTCTGGTCAGAATTGTTTAAATCAGCAGGCACTAAATTGAAATATACTTCGGCCTATCATCCCCAATCGGACGGACAAACGGAAGTGGTTAATAGGTGCTTGGAGGATTATTTGAGGTGCTTCGTGGGCGATAAACCCAAGCAATGGCCTAGGTGGCTAGCTTGGGCAGAATTTTGTTTCAACACACATTATAATCAGTCGGCGGGTATGACTCCATTCAAGGCGGTGTATGGAAGGGATCCCCCAGCGATTTTTAAGGCTCCAACCTTTCCGTCCAAAGTGGAAGCCGTGAATGTAATGGCAGAAGAGAGAGATGGAGTTTTGGAGGAGTTAAAGGCGAACATTGGTAAGGCACAGCATAGGATGAAACAGCAAGCAGATAGGAAGAGAAGAGATGTTAACTTTGAGGTGGGCGATTGGGTTTATCTCAAAGCCAACCTTATAGACTCAAATCGTTAGCGAAAAGGAGAAATGAGAAATTAGGCCCGAGATACTATGGTCCTTTTCGGGTGTTGGCTAAGGTTGGTGCTGTGGCTTACAAGTTGCAATTACCGGAGAGCAGTAGAATTCATCCAGTCTTCCACGTCAGTAAATTAAAGAAGGCCGTCCCGCTGGAGAAGCAAGTACAGTCCCTTCCGGAGGAAATTTCTGTAGATTGGGAATTGTAGCCACAGCCTGCAGAACTCTTGTCTTACAGGTACAGCAGAACAGGAGAACTGGAGGTGCTCATTCAGTGGCACAACCTACCGGACTGTGAGAATTCGTGGGAGACAGCAACCAAGATGCAGACTGCATTTCCACAATTCCAGCTTGAGGACAAGGTGATTGCTCGAGGGGGGAGTATTGATAGGGGACCTGTGGTTAAACAGGTCTATGTTAGGAGGGAAAAGGGGGGTAGTTAGTTATTTTTGTAACTAACTGATGATAGTCGGGTAGGGACTGTTAAATTGTATAAATAGGAGGGAATAAGGGGGAGGAAGGGATTCGGAAGTATTGTATTCTGGGAGAGATAGGCACTCTCGAATTGCCTAGTTTCACTGTATTCTGTCCTTCTGGTTGTGTTGACAGCAAGGACTCGAGCAATAATACTACAATCTTTCGTTATTTTTCAATTCTCTCTTAATATCCAGTTGAGACCTATCAAAATGATTTTTCCACTTCTCGTTCCCTCTTTTCATTGCCTTTTTTAGGTTTGGATCAGCTGTAGCCTGTAGGTGGTCCAAACCCAATGTACACATTTTTTTAATATGTAGCAGGAGCCAGTTTCGGATTATTTGATATATATAGGGTTCAGGGTTTAATAGAGTTTGGGGACGGGAACTCAATTTTACCACTGGCAGGAGTAGGAACGAGGATTTTTTTGGGGAGTCAGGGAGTGGGAAAGGCAAAACCTGCTCCTACCCTCGCCCTGGCCCTGTTGCCAAGCCTAACACAGTACATACATGGTGGCATGACACGTTTTATAATAATATCTGACATCACATTTAAACAATAAAAAAATGTTATAAACTTATAATCATAAAAGTTAAAAATATAAAACCCTAAACCCTAAACCATAAAATGACACATCCTAATCATATAAAACCAATCCTTAACATAAAAGTTAAAAAAAAAAGGAGGGACATTTTCTGACAAAATGTACTATACTTGTCTTTTTGACATTTTCTCACTATTCAACGATGTTCTCTTGTTTTATATTACCTTGCCAGCTAGCCTGCAAAAATATGTGGAATTGAGGGATGGGTAGGACATGGCTTTGTTAACTACTCTAGCACATTGATAAGACCATGCAAATTTAGCAGATGATGAAGTTCAGATAAGATATAAAGTTTTATTAAAGTAGGATAAACAATTTGAGATGAAAATTTGAATTATATTCTGAATAATATCAGACATCCTCCAAAGTAATATGCCGCATTCTGCAAAGTAAAATGTGTCAACTGCAAGATAGAATTGAAGGTAATGTGTGTCCAGAGTGCAAACAGGTACAACCATCTTAAAGCTGAACAAATTAGAAAACAACAATGCTATAAATTATGGATAAAAAATAGTTGCCACATAGAAGTTGTTCACTGAATACGATTGACATTAAATATGCCAAACCATAGATTGCCTAATTCTAGAAACCCTAAGGGAAGTAGAATCACATTTGATTTGGATAACGAATTCAACTATACAGCTATAACTAGTTCTGTAATTTGATAGTTAAGCAAGGAGTTATCTTGGGACTATAAAACATGTAAGCAGTGTAAAAAAAGTTCTGTAATTTCCCCAAAAGGACAGACAAAAAGGAAACAGAAAATGAAATAAAAAGCATGTAATACCGTCAATGAAGTGCTCGATCCTTTCACATTAAGCTTGTACACAATACCATATTGGAAGATGAAAAATCTAAGACTCAGAATGGTTTCTGCTATCCTTGAACCCAAGCTCCTGATATGAGCCTGTAGATGAAATAATTTATGAATATTAAGACACAAAAACCATTGAAACAGATGAGACTTCTCTAAATGGAAAGCAATGACATATATAATGTTTTGTAAGAACCCTTAACCTCTAAAATCAGAAACAAAGTTTCTCTAAATGTGCTCGAGTGATCACTCAGCTGAATGATCTTAACTATATTCACAAGATCACTAGGATAATAAAATAGAAATACAATTTACAAGAGAGCAATTAAGTTATTATTACTTCCAAATATGCATTGGACTTGGCTATACAAAGTACCTGGCTACTTGGAAAGAGGAACAACATTTAAAATGCTCTTATAGCTCAATCGGTTTTCCTATTTCCAGCATCCTACTTAATGGTTTTGCTTATAACTATTCTTGATCTTTTCCTCTATCTCTAACAATAGGGCTACCCTACATCTGATCAAAGTACATAAGGAGATATTCTACCATTTATCCTCCAATAGGTGTGTTGCCCCCAACTTTCTCTATAATTAATGCCTTCATTTCCTAATCCTTTTTTGTCTAGTATGCCCATACATCCAAGATCCAACAGAACATTCTCATCTCTACTACATTGAATTCTAGTCCTAAAGAAGCGTTCAATTTATTTATTTTTTTCACTGTAAGACTGCTATTTTAGAAATTAGAATAGTGCCTGATGTTATTAGCGAATATTGTTGCTTAGAACAGGTGCAAATAGCACAAATACCCAGATATCATTGTACTAATCCTATTTGAGGTTTTATGGAAGTTTCATAATTAAACACCATATTTATTAATAGATAAGGATACAAAAACCATAAAAGCAAGAAAAACATCTATTGATCAAGGCGCAATACTAATTACCAGTTCTTCTTCCCACCAAGCTTCCCAGCTTTCTTCTCCCTTAACACCAATTCCACCACGGTAAAGTAGCCAATTTGTCCAATCTCGGAAGTCTTCCACCACCCTAGAAAAACGCCACGAGAAAAAATCATTAAATATGAGACAGTATGCCTGACTGAATACAAAGATAATACTTACTTTTGCCACTCAAATCCAGACGGGTTGAATAAATATGGAGCAAACAACCAGGATAGAGCCATAAACCAACTGCTTATACTCAGAAGAATATACGAGAGTGCACCACCTTCATTATAGCCATAAGCAAGATATACTATCAACAAAAGCACAACCTCCAACCTGAAGACAAGACAAAGGAATACAATGATTATGTTTCATGGAAATGAAAATAAGGATACAACCTAAATGACAATAATTTCATAAATACTGTATGACACTATGTGAGCTATACTAATGCCTATAATGTGAGAGTAAATGCAGAGAGTTTTCTAAAACTGTCAGCACAAAAGTTTGAGTACTGTGTTCTATTATGCAGTTAGAATAAAAGTACTTGAATTAGTTCAGTTCATTTTCAGTTGACCTTGAGTTAGATATGCGTGTATATATAACAGATCTAACTATAGGATCAACACAATAACAATTCATCAGATTCATAATTCAGAGAATCTCTATTTTCTAGCAAATTTTATTGTTGTATCAAAGTTTCTCAATTTTTCCTCAATTTCTCCATTTCATTTTATTGAGCTTTCCAGCAAATTCTATCATTGTATTGAATCAATTTTGATACTAATTCATTACTTCCACTCAGAATTTGTTTAACACATCAGAGAATTCATCCAGAATATGTTTCAGTTAGTCAGCCACTGGATTATTCTTCTGATCAATTTGATGCTCTGCATTTTAGTAAAGACTTCTTACTCTCTGCATGTTTTTAAGACATTTAGGCATTTTCCTCAGTAAATTACATACTTTTGTCCTTTTTGTTTTATATTACTATTTTCCATTTATTTTTTTATGCAGGAAAAGAGAACCTCAGCTTGGAAGAACACAATACCTAATTGGGATAAATGGAAGGAATCAGAAAGCTAAAGAGCATCTTGTGGAGTGCAAAACGTCCCCATCACCACTTCATCTGCCTTGGCCTCTCCTATTCTCCCAACTTCATCAACCTCATCATCCACTCATAACCCAGCTCCAATTACTAACATTCACCCCATGACTACCAGGGCCAAAGCTGGCATTGTAAAATAGTATATAAGTGGAAAGCAACCCTCACCTTACAAGCCGGTTTTGTAGGGTTGAGTTAGGCTTAATCCACTATTCTAACATGGTATCAGAGCCATTTAGATCCACTTTAAATGGGCCACCCACCATTGATGCATGCCTCATAGGCATGAGGGGGTGTATTGGAAAAAAACCCAAGTCCCGCCTATCCTAGATCATTAAAAAGGGCCACCCACCATTTATCCACGTACCAAGCCCAATAGTGCTGGACGTGAGGGGGTGTATTGGGAAAAACCCAAGTCCCACATCGACTAGAGATTAGGCAATTGAATAGTATATAAGTGGAAAGCAACCCTCACCTTACAAGCCGGTTTTGTAGGGTTGAGTTAGGCTTAATCCACTATTCTAACATGCAAAGCCCGTCAATTGCGTGGTGACCTTCGTAGCACAACTCTTGAAAACCGTTCCATCTCTGACTATCTCCTTCGTATCCAAACCCTTGTTGATGCCCTCACTGCTATTGGCAACCCTGTTTCTTCCAAAGAACATCTTGATATTGTTCTTGAGGGGCTTCCAGAAGAATATGAATCCACTGTTTCCCTCATCAGCAGCCGTTTTGATGAATTGACCATAGAAGAAGTTGAAACCCTTCTTCTTGCCCATGAATCCCGCCTTGAAAAATTCAAGAAAAAGAACCTTCTCACTGTCAATCTACTTGAAACCCCCTCGAGCTCGAATTCTTCCCCTTTGCCACCGCAAGCCAATCTCACCCATCAAGACACTCAGCTTCCCTCCTCTTCTGGCGGTGGCAGATCTGGTGGGCGGTATGGTCGTGGTGGTCGACCCAACAATCGATACGGTCGTGGGCGTGGCAAGTTTGCTGGCTTTCAATGCCAAGTCTGCCATCGATACGGCCACATTGCTTCTTCTTGCTATTACAGGTTTGATAGCACCTTTGTCCCAACCCTACCCTTTGATAATACCTTCTCCGCTGCTAACTCCACTGCCAACCCTACCCTTGGGTACAATCCCTCTTCCTTTCCCTCACACCACATGCGCCCCACTGGTTCTTCAAACGGCCTTTTAGGTTCCCGCCCGCTCAACCCCAACTCTTCTCAGGCATATCTTGTCTCCAATGGCGCCCATCAAGCCCAGGCTTCGCCCATGGCTTTGACTGCACTTTCCCCTAGTTCCCATTTGTGGTATCCCGACTCCGGAGCATCTAATCATGTCACCAACATGTCCCACAACATTCAACAACTCACTCCCTTCGAAGGCCCCGATCAGATTATCATTGGCAATGGCCACGGTCTTCCTATAAACTCCTCAGGTGTAACTGCGTTCCCTTCTCCTTTAAAACCTCACATCTCCCTTACTCTCAATAATCTTCTTTATGTTCCCAATATCACAAAAAATCTTATCAGTGTGAGCCAATTCTGCAAAGATAATTCTGTTTTCTTTGAATTTCACTCAACCTGCTGTTTGGTTAAATCACAGGACACTAAAGACACTCTCCTCATGGGAGTTGTTGGCCCTGATGGCCTGTACCAGTTTCCCTCACTGCTTCAGCCAAGACAACAACCAGCAATCACGCCTTCTGCTAATACAGCCTCTTGTCATTCTGTTCCCTATGTCACTTGGCATTCTAGACTGGGACATCCTCATAATGATGTAATAAAATCTGTGTTCAGACTTTGTAATTTCCCTATCATCAATAAAACAGCTTCTGATTTTTGTACTCCTTGTTGTCTTGGCAAATCTCACAAATTACCTTCAAATTCTTCTAAAACTGTTTACCATACACCGTTTGAATTAATATATAGTGACCTATGGGGCCCTGCACCTATCACATCTGATAATGGTTATCAGTACTATGTTACTTTTGTTGATGCGCACACTCGATTCACTTGGATTTTTCTTCTTAAACGTAAAGCTCACACACTTGATGTTTTTAAGCAATTTCATGCTATGATTCAAAATCAATTTCAGCTACCCATTAAAGCGATTCAAACTGATTGGGGAGGAGAATTTCGTTCATTCACCTCCTATTTAGCCCAAAATGGCATTCAACATCGACTCATTTGTCCTCACACTCATCACCAAAATGGTGTTGTGGAACGCAAACACCGTCACATTGTTGAATTAGGTCTCACAATGTTGGCTCAAGCTCACCTCCCTATGCAGTTTTGGGACCATGCATTCCTAACCAGTGTCTACCTTATTAACAGACTACCATCATCTTCCATTCAGAATGATGTTCCATTCAGAAAACTATTTCATCAATTACCTGACTATAATTTTCTCAGAATTTTTGGCTGCTCTTGTTTTCCTCACCTTCGGCCCTACAACAAGAATAAACTTCAATTTCGCTCCCAAGAGTGTGTGTTCTTGGGGTACTCGACTTCTCATAAAGGATACAAATGCCTTGCCCCAACTGGCAGAATTTTTATCTCCAAAGATGTCGTTTTCTGTGAAACCCGCTTTCCTTATCCGAGTTTATTCCCTGCCCCTGCCACCAACCCACTCACTCCTTCAATTCCTGTTCCTCTTGTAATAACCAATCCACAGCCTCCTATGCAAACTGATTCTTCTACACTCAGCTCTCCACCTCCATCACCTACAACTCAGAACTCCACTTTCCCATCCGTCCCCATCACCACTTCATCTGCCTTGGCCTCTCCTATTCTCCCAACTTCATCAACCTCATCATCCACTCATAACCCAGCTCCAATTACTAACATTCACCCCATGACTACCAGGGCCAAAGCTGGCATTGTAAAATAGTATATAAGTGGAAAGCAACCCTCACCTTACAAGCCGGTTTTGTAGGGTTGAGTTAGGCTTAATCCACTATTCTAACATGGTATCAGAGCCATTTAGATCCACTTTAAATGGGCCACCCACCATTGATGCATGCCTCATAGGCATGAGGGGGTGTATTGGGAAAAAACCCAAGTCCCGCCTATCCTAGATCATTAAAAAGGGCCACCCACCATTTATCCACGTACCAAGCCCAATAGTGCTGGACGTGAGGGGGTGTATTGGGAAAAACCCAAGTCCCACATCGACTAGAGATTAGGCAATTGAATAGTATATAAGTGGAAAGCAACCCTCACCTTACAAGCCGGTTTTGTAGGGTTGAGTTAGGCTTAATCCACTATTCTAACAAAAACAACATGAATTATTTTATGCTTTATTTTGCCTTGGAGCCATACATAGGAACCTTTTAATTTTATTTTGTAATTTGCGCTTTAATTTAAAAGCCTTTTAGTTTTATATTATATTAGGCCAAGTTTCGAAAATCAATTAAAAAAGGAGTTTCGAATCATTGAGGGAGACTTTGGTTTCTAATTTAATTAGAATGGCCCCTATGAGCTAAACATCTTTACTAGTCTAAGATTAATGGAAGCTTAATTTTCTAAGGCTGTGAGGTCTAACTTCCCTTTATCTCTTCAAATTTTTGGGCATATATATTTCTAGTGTTTTGCCAATTTATGAAATTGTACAAAACCAATTAGGGCTATAAATCTGTGATTGTCTATTAGTTCTAATGAGTAGGGTAAACGACTTTCATTGTGTAGAATTATGTTTTATTGGCTAGAATTAGGTTCCTCTAGACTCTAATACTACTAATAGATTAGATTCCTAAGAGCATGCTTAGGATTGTTTATCAATAAGGGAAGTAATCAACGATTTTATCTTGAATACTGTAAGAATAATAAGAAGGAATGTATTATTAGAGCTTATTAATAACTATAAATTATCTAGAAAGGAAAAGTGCATTTTTGAACCAATGAATCATCCTATAAACTGAATTGGCGAATACACTTTGAACTAGAGTCCTTCAATTATTGAATATCAACAATCTCTTATTTTGCTCATTGTTTTAATTATAATTTTCCTAAAATTGATTTGCAACTGAAACCCTCCTTTTGATTAATTTACTGCTTGGTCTAATTCTGTAAAAGAAATAAAATTTAATAGTTCCTATAAATTTCACCCTACCCACTGCTTTATTAATTTTTGTTGGCTCGACACCTGTTGCAAATATAATAGATATTTTAGGGGGTTCAAAAAATCTCATTGTATCCTGATATTTATTTCCTTTTTCCTTCTTTTTTTTAGACATAGTTGTTTACCCTGTAAAAGGAAGATTAGAGAATATATTAGACTATAGTACTATACCCATCAACTTTATAAAAATCCCTTTCCTGTCAACTATACCCATCACTATTTGTCCTGGTTTCCATCCTCACCCTTCAACATTCTCTGATGTATGCTGTAGGCTGCATGAATTGAAGACATTTGGGGGTAAATTTAGAGTTATTTCAATTCTCAAACTCTACCCAATCCATGCACACACTTCTTTCACGATGAAATAACCCTATTCCCATGCTAAATTTTCAACCTGTCAATCCAACTGGAATTCTCAAATCTATTGTTTCCTATTAATACAATTGTACAAATAATCATAGTGCAAAAAGTGCATTATAATGAGAAATGTGAAGTTCTTTTTAGTAGAGACCAACACTGAGTGATAAAGGAAATAGAATTCGATTTTCCAAATAATTAATTGATTTTTAAATATATTTCACAAAATACATAATATGATAGAGAAGCCAAATGCTGATCTTATACTTTTATGCTACCTGAAATTCCTTACAAACAGATAAGATAAGCGAAGAATGTTAGAACGAGAGTGAATTAGTGATATGTAAATAATTTCAAATTTGGGAAACTTAACAGCAAGCCTCACCCTTTAACAAAATGACTACGCGAGTAGAGTCTGTAATTCTCTGAAAATTTGATATGGCGGACAACAAACCCGCGGCCAGTTGCTTGATACTGTTGACAAATAAACAGATTAACAGTTGAGAAGAGAAAAACAAAAAGAGACAGCATAGAGTATGCATACAAACCCTTGCACCACCATGAAGAATGGTCCGACCAAAATAATGTGTTCTTGTACCCAAGGAAAATGTGAAAAAGACAGTGCAGAGCTGGAACTGCATTGTGACAAAACTGACAATGGCCTGCAGAGCAATAAAAAATAAAAACATTAAAAAAATGAATATTTTGTAAACAGGATGTACAGTTGACACGAGTTCCTAAGGCCTTTTTCCCCCTTTTAATTGAGGTGCTAAATGGCCAAGAATAATTGGGGGGTGGGGAGTAAAGTGGGTATAGAAAAGCTAAGCATTTGGTTATTTAATCATGTCAGGTAACAAGCATGACAAGTTACTTCTTTGTAAGAAAGACAGTTGGATGGATACACCTTGTCTCACTATCTCAAACTTACAGACAAGCACAAACAAAAATGTGTATTTAGATGTCAACTTCTCAAATATTTGGTACTATTGCTAATATCAGTCAACTTGTTCAACTTGATTTCTTTGGTGATATCTATTAAGATAAAGAAAGGGATAAACACAAACAAACACTTACCCTCAAAAAACCTTGTTCAAGAATGAAGCCCAAGACCATTGGCACTGCAGTGAAGATACCAATTTGAAAGAGAAATTGTGTATTCAAAGCAGCACTCAGTGCAGTGTTCTTAGTTATCCTAGCCCTTTCTTCAATGGTTTCACCAACACCAGATAGTGCCTGGAAACATATAACATTTGTGTTCATAAGTATAGAAATAAGTTCAGTGGCAAGTATTTGTTTGTATTGAATGTATACGGTTATACTAGCAGTGTTCTAGTACTAATAACTTGTACTACAGACAGTACACAACCTTTCCGTCTATTGCCAATGACACGCAAAACATAAGTTGCAAGAAAAACTTCAATACAACCCAACAATAATGTGAAAGAAAAAAAAGTTAAATGAAACCATGTCCAACTCAAGACTAACCTAGACCTGAATCTGGTTTGAAATGATAAACATTTAGCACTACAAGGGATGAAATTTTTAGCAAAAGGAAAAGATAATCTCAAATTAACAAAGCTTAGATAAACAAACATGAAAGTTTAACAAAATCCAACTTACCAAATAAGTTTTCCCATAAAGAAAGGCATATACAGTAAGCACTGTTAGCTGCAATATCATAAAAATAAAAAATAAAATCAGATGAAGAAAAACTTGGGATATAAATATATGTATGCTGATGATTCTAAAATTGTACTGTATGGGAAATTTCCGTGAGATGTGTTACAATGTCAGTGATAATGTAAATTATGTAATGTATGGCTGGGTTCTACCTCTCATTCTGAATTGTAAATAAAACTGGTTACCAGGTGCTATTGCATCTGCACAGAACAACCACTATTGCCAAGCCTTCTTGCTCTAACAAAACCCAAGTTTTGAATAAAACCATTGAGGGTTTAAGTTTTCGTAGGTCTTCCTCTAGACCCTTTAATTGAATATCATCTTTTTGATTCATCTTTCTCCAAAGAGCCTATCATTCTTTTTTTTTTTTTTTGTGCAAAACAACCTCAAGCAAGTTTCAGTCATCTTCTCCTAAATAGGCTACACCATCTCAACATTGTAATCTCTGCTACCCTTGTATTTTATTTTATTTTGGAACATGTTGCCACTTCATTGACCAAAATTCACCACTTTAGAGCATCAATTGTAGGTAGATTTTCTCTTTTAGTAGATAGGCACTGTATGAATGCAAAAGATGACAAAAGTGTTTTTCTACATTTCGTCCATCTAGCAATCTCCCCATCACATTTTGAGATTTGTTCATGGAGAATCTAAGGACAGCTAGGATTGATATCATCAGTCACAATATATGCAATGAATAACTATGCTTCAACATGAAGGTGTCTGTGCAAATAGTGTAATAAGGGTTCCATTGTTTGTTGTGTTGAAGTCAAGGTATCCTCACATACTTATTCAATCAACAAAAAATAAGTGATGCATAATTGGCATACCATGGTACAAAAGTAGTATCCAACTGTTGTAAAATAAAAAGACATCATCCGGAAGAAATCAAAAAGCTGCCCAAGTCTGTATACATCACGACTGAGAACTTGTTCACCATTACCACCTGAAACTTTTCCTTCAAATAGTGCAATCTGATTGAGCCCAACATCTCTTCCCTTACCAACCTGTAAATTTACTATTAGAACAAAAAAATTTGTAGTCTTCTAGAGGCATCATTAAATAACAAGCCTGACCTGAATATATTCATGATGTGTAACATTTCCTTGGCGTAAGGTTGAATTGAATCCTGTGTATTAACAAGCATATAATAAAAAAACTAGTAAAGGAATAAGCAAGGAAAAAATGAACACACATTTCAAACAGCAATAAATTAGAGCTAAGCCAAAAATGCATTCAGATAGATGTCTGTCTTGACCCAAATCTGCACAAAACTACTTCAAAGAAAACTATTACACAGCATAAAAGAGTAAAAAATTAAATGTTATGCGAGAAGAGAGAGAGAACTATTTTCTAAACTATTACCCAGTGGATTGATCTATTTATAATAATAATGATAGCAAAGTTACTAAATAAATACCACTATTTTCAAGACAACAATTAAATAATCACTACTTCCTGAGATATATTGAACTCAGCTAAACATAATTTCAACATGTTATATGAAGCATATATTTGCAACAAAAATTCTCACACAACACAATATCCAGTTCTGCTCCAGTTAAGATGTCAAGATGAATGTGGGCCCTCGCAAGAAAGGATATGATATGGATTTATTATATACAAGTATAGATTCAGAATATTGGTTACGGTAAAAAAGGCACCAGTCAGAAGAATATATTGCATGATTTCTAGAACTGGGAAAAAATATAAGGGAGACCAAAAAGGTCTTTGGATGAAGTCATCAAGGGAGATCTCATAGTAAATAATATACATGAATCTATGGTTTTTAATCATGCCAAATAACTGTGTTATCTATGTAGTTGATCTAACCTAGTTGGACACACTTTATTGCCATCGCTAGAGACTCGTGCTTTTTTGTTAGAATAGTGGATTAAGCCTAACTCAACCCTACAAAACCGGCTTGTAAGGTGAGGGTTGCTTTCCACTTATATACTATTCAATTGCCTAATCTCTAGTCGATGTGAGACTTGGGTTTTTCCCAATACACCCCCTCACGTCCAGCACTATTGAGCTTGGTACGTGGATAAATGGTGGGTGGCCCTTTTTAATGATCTAGGATTGGCGGGACTTGGATTTTTCCCAATACACCCCCTCATGCCTATGAGGCATGCATCAATGGTGGGTGGCCCATTTTTAAAGTGGATCTAAATGGCTATGATACCATGTTAGAATAGTAGATTAAGCCTAACTCAACCCTACAAAACCGGCTTGTAAGGTGAGGGTTGCTTTCCACTTATATACTATTCAATTGCCTAATCTCTAGTCGATGTGGGACTTGAGTTTTTCTTAATTTTTTTTTTTTGTGTACAATGGTCGCACGAATTTCAAACTTAAGACTTCATGCACAACCCAACCTCCCACCACCAGGCCAACTCTAGTAGTTCACTAGACTTGGGTTAATAGGCCATGGATGCCACCTAGTTATATTTACCTCGGCCTTAAATAATTAAATTTACTAAACTAGTAAACCAACTCTCTTTTGTTGCAATTAATTCATTTTAAGGACATTATAGTAATTTAACATCCACCTTTTCAAATAGAAGTTTAAAACTTATTTATCTCTCCTCTTCACTCTCTCACATAATTAATTAAAAGACCTATTTCTCTCTCCTCCCTATCTCACATGAATGTAATCAACAAGCTAGAAGCTTCTCAGGCATGTCAATCACCCACTTGTTAAGGCTCCCATTGGGCATGAAATGATAAACCAGCATGAGCTGGTTTCCCCTTTCTACGCTGCCATCCCATATGGACCAAGTTCTTCTGCTGCAACCTCTATGTTTGGTATCTCCACCATGAATTTTTGCAACCCTTGATTTGAATGGTGGTTCACAACTTCACCACAACTTGCATGTTGTTCCGAAAATTCCTCTGTACACACTCAAACCCCACCCAAGATTCTCAAAACATGAATTAATTATGTGAAGTTAGAGGAGAGAGAAATAAGTTTTTTTTTTTAAGGCAGATATTAAATTACTATAAAATATCCTTAAAGTGAATTAATTACGAAAGAAGAGATAGTTGGGGTTTTTGCCCTGATATTTTCTTGTAGACTGCTAATGTACTCGAACAAAAAAGATAGAGTACATTAGCAATCCCCAAATATACATGCTCAAAAAGGTGGGGGAAAGGCTCATAATTCATGCTCTAGTCATTATCAATAAGAGAAAGAAACGATAAAATGAGGGTATAGGTCAGGGAAAATAAACAAAAAGAGGGTAGGGTAAAAAGAAACAAAACTGAGAAGAAGAGTATAATATAAAAAATAACAGCATAAGGAAGAAAAAACAAGGTAGGTACAAAGAACAAAAATGAGAAGAGTATAATATAAAAAATAAAAGTAAAGGGCAGGGAAAAAAGGGTAGGAACCAAGAAAAAAAAAGAATATAATATAAAAATAAGAACAGAGAAAAAGAACAGGAGAAATGCAGGAGAACAACAAAGTGTCAGCAGAGAAACAACTTTTTATTGGTTGACAGTGTAAGATTTTATAGTGACAATGCATGACCATTAAACAAGAAAAAAAATACAAAAACCAGAAAAAGACAATAAGAAACAGATAAAAATAAAAATAAAAACCAGAAAAGGAAAGATATCTTCACTAAGACATTTACCTGCTTTACCAGAACAGCCAAATTTCTATATAGCAAAAGCAACAAGCCAAACCTGAAAAGATATCTTCACTAATGTTGATAATGCGGGAAGCCTTGCTGATGCCACCACGAGTTATGTGGAATATTCTATCAAAAACATCAGGATGCCCATAGTGCATGCGGACCCTAAATAGATCATAATTGTCATAAGTAAGTTTGAATCTTGACATGAGAAATCATTATTTAACATAAAATGGTCTTACTTCAATGGATTTGCTAAAACCCGCTGGCCTAAAGTCACAAAACTAGTTTCTTGATTGGACATAAATGAGGCTAAAGATGAGACACTGCATTCAGTAACAAAGATGTTACTCAAAGACATAAACACTGAAAAACCAAGTCCAAAAAGAACACTATCCAAGGATGTAAGCTACATATACCTGCCAGTAAAGACATGTTCTCTAACACCAAGTATAGTAGGAGGACGTAGCCCGTGATCAGAATGAAATTCTTCAAGAAGGTTCCTCATCTTCAAAGCCTCCTCAAAATAGTTATCCTAAATAAATTCAACTAAGCATCAAAACATAGCAACAGCAAAGAACTTGTACAGTATCACAAATCATGAAATAGTAAATTTTCTACAAAGTTTATATACATAATATGTAGCGGATCAACGCTATGAATAACATATAGTACATCACATAAGACAGAATTGCTTACAAAATACAACATAGTTCCTTTTCAATCATCACAATCTATTCAGATAAAATTAGCCAAATACAGACAGCTGTTAAAACTGGTATTACCTGATTCATGTCAATTGTTTGGACCGCATTTCCACGTGTAAAAATAATTGCATGATTTTGGTTCTCAGGCTTTCCTTCACCCAATTTGGGATTTCCAGGTAACTTCACAGAGTATATCTCCTGTGACATCAAAAAACTTCAATAAATGGAGTGAAAAATAGCGAAAGCAATCTAATTCAGTAAAGGGAGGTAGAAAAATTAAAGGCAATCTAAGTAATTATGACAATCTATTTCAATAACAGAATGCAGCAAAAGTAAAAGTAACATAAGTAGCTAACCAGATAATTCAGTTATAAGAATCTGTTACAACAGTTTAACAGCTATGTTTGTTAACCAGACTTGACAACAACCCTTATGAATCATAACTAAAGTTTAAATACAAAATAAAAATTATAGAAAAATTGCACCTTGTCTTTCCCATTGATATCAGCTTTCACAAGCTTCGAGTAGTATTCTGTGTTCACTTTTCCCTCTTTTAAAGTTTCAACAACATCGATGAAAGCAACACGGAGAGCTTCATTTCTAAAAGCATGATAGTTGAAAAGATAGAAGTCATAATTCAATTAGCAAATAGAAAAAACATGAAGTTTGATCCATAGAAATGTTGATCCTACCTTTGCATAAGTAAAGCAATATCAGCAGCCTCGGGCTTTTGCTCTTCTTTCTGCTTACCATAAATTTGACATGTCACAACATAAGTGAACTTCAGATCTGCCTGGGCACGTGCCTCAGGGGATAACTCAAAGCCATGTGTATCAGTTACTTCATCACAACCCATTGCTGCCTCCAAATCTAAATTAATAAAAAAATTACAAACATATTAACGTAAAGAAAACAATGGAGTTATATGTTCTTACCTCCGGCTGTTGTGCTCTCCAAATAGGTCTGAAGCATAAGAGCTTTCCTATAATACATCATCCCCCTAACTGTGCATTTCAAACAACAATGAACAGAAAATATAGTAAATATCATCTATGATATTTGTTATATGAAGACAAATATCTCATTATTTCCCTATTTCTTTTTTATGTTAGTTCCCTTAATAGAGTCATTTTAACCTATAAAAAGGAGATTAGTGCTTGTATTCAAAATATACTGAAATAAAAAGTTCCTTTAAAGTGGGTATTTTTTGTCATGTTCAATATTATGTATCCAACAATTGCATAAATATGTTTACACTTCCTGCCTTGCCTATAATAAGTAGCAATTCTCTCCATCAACACCACTAAAATAATATATTCCAATTTACTGCCATAATCTGTTTGGCCTAATTTCCCACTCATCATGCTTGCTATAGTCCTGAGTCTTGTGCGATACTTATTTACAATGAAACCAGAAAAGGCAGCACCATTAAACTTTAATGCCCAACCTTGATATTTTCTAACAAAGGAATAAGCTAAATCAAAACAAAAAATGGATATTTGAGGCCGTATGACCAATTGATAAAGAATTATGCAAACTTCAGCATTGTTCATTTTTCAAATATAAAATGCTCTCGCATTAGGGGGCATGATGTGGAACAAGTTAGAAAATAGAAACACATTACTTTAGCACATGTTTGTATTAGATCTAGTACACATATAGAATTAGCCTTCTTTCTTAATTTATAGGGGTTTAATTAATTATTTTTATTACCGTATTATTTGTATTCTTTATTCTGCAATTATAAACATGCATATGGGTTTGAGATGTCATTTGGTTATTTAGGAAGGTTGCTAAAGCAGTCTTGGGTTAATCAATTTTTGGGCAAGAAATAAGGAATACTGATGGTGAAATGAAAGTGTTTGAGACAAGGTTAGAAACAATAGGGAGTGCTTTAAGGCCTTGCACAGGTGCAATCAATAACACTGAGAATTGGGCAAGGTATCAAAGTATTACAAATGAGAAGGAAAGTTGTGAGTGAGACATGATCCAAAGTTTTTGAAGTTTTACCAAAGATCCTGGGACTAATAATGAAGAGTGTTAGATATATAAGCTAGCTAAAAATAGAGAAAGAAAAACAAAGAGGAAAAGATTTAGTTACAGATCATCATATAGAAGAGAGATGGGAGAATTATTTTCAATAATGGATTCACAATATGGAAGGCATAGAAACCTAAGAGAACAACACTACCATAGAATTTGAGTTGGAGTGGTAAAAAGCAGTTAAGAGGATGGACAAATTCCCATTGAAATTTTGAAATGAGTAGGAGAACAAGGTATCATTTGGCTATCTAAGCTATTTAATGAGATGGGTAGAGGAGCAACACTTGCTACATACATTTAAGAACTGGTCATGGTTATGTATGGCCAGCTCAGGCTTAATTTTACCAAAATACAACAGTTTCGTCATTGGGCAACGAATTTGGGATTTTAGTTTTTTTTATCCATGCCTCTTGCCATTGCTCAAATATCACTCATTATATATCATGCAAATTCCTTGTAATATTACATCCCAAATTGTATTAAATTAATATTAATAAGTATTCATTATATATTATTAATATTTACAATACTAATAATATTTACATAGTTGATAATGTTTCCAAATAATACTTTAGCATCCAGAGTATATAATATGATCCTTTTATGCTAATTTCAAATTATAGCTAGCTTGATTTTTATGATTTTATGTTAATTAATATATAATATATTACATAACAAAAAAAAAATGTATGTATAATCATCACTGATAACCATGTGAAGACATGCAGAAGAAAATCAAGTTCATTGGTAAAAATATTGATAAACATTACCCGTTCTGGCCAATGTTTGCCCTCGATATGAAGCCCAAAATCGCAGTTCAAGAATATCACTAGGACTGTCATAAAGTTCACTCTCAAGTGTGTTTTCGTCACGGCCAATTCGAGCAAGAAAGTTTTTCCACTCATCTACAGTGAATTAGGAAAAATATAAATTAATATACAACAATAAAAAAAAATTATATAGAAGAGAAGAATGTATAGATAATTTGGATTATGAAGGAAGAAATATAGATTTTTTTTTATTAATTATTTGTGACGTGTCCTGAAAGCAACAAAGAGTGCAAAATAACTGCTGAAATCTGGCCAGCCCTATTACTCCCAAGCTTGCAAGATCTTATTAATAACTTGGTTTAACTAAACAGCAGATCTTTGTACTTTTCAAGGATATTCAAATAGCATCCTTGTAGTTGGATCTGTTTATAAACTATAAAAATGTATTAACATATTTGAACATTCCCAAAAAGCATAGGGATGAACAAATTAATTTAACCAGATTATTTTAATCCTGAAAATAATCATGTTGGACCAATATCAACCCAAAAGTAAATAATTGGATCAGTCTATCGTGAATGTAAATCATTGGGCTAGTTTAAGTTTAGCCCAGAATTAATTGGCAAGTGCTTCATTTGGTTATGAAAAAAATAAAATAAAACCCAAACAGTATGAAAGTAAGTTGAACCACAAATTGAGCAATCCAACTTTAACAACAAATTATTTGGACAAGTGCGATTTTTTCTTGAATGTAATCCATACAGCTCAGGCTGAAATAGAGCCAACCTGATCAATTTCAATTAAGCCACATTAAATCATTTAGGCCCATCCAGTTATACTCTGATATTCTGATAGAAGCAAACTGAAGTAAAAATTACCTGGATATATCTTCTGAAGGTAGAACAAAATTGAAATGCCATCTTCATTTTTCTTTAGGAGTTCAGCCATGCTATATAGCACAATCTCAGAATAGTAAGGAGTGAAAACACTGCAAAATAAAAAATAAAATAAAAATAAGCCCAGAAACAATAAGGGTAAAAATTTCTTCCAAGAGAAAAGATCTACCTAAAAGATAACATCTCCCGAACTGGCTTTGCACGAGGCATCTTCATAAAAAGAGAATTTGTGAAAAACTCCAGCCGTCGCCTGGCCTCAAGATTTTTAGGAATGCTTGAGGCAGACTCTTTGATAGTCAGCAGTGAATACAATCTTTTGACTTGCATTTTCTGCATGCACTCAATGTTAGAAAATTCATAGACAAGTTATTTGCACACACTATAGAAAAATATGATTAGAACATACTAAATCTGTATTCTTGGGCCATTTCAACTTTTCAAACAAACGCCCTTCATCCCTAGCTTTGGTCAGCAAACTCCATGTGTCATAATTCTCCCTAGATTAAAAAAAAACATAAAAATTAACATCAATCTAAAGGGATGAAACCCCTGATAGAAGACTACTTAAATTTCGATGTATGCAGACAACAGCAACTGTGACAAACCTCATATTTATAGTAAGAACATCAAATCGCATAACATCATACAGATCCTGAACAGCCCTAACTGCACCCCTTTCCAGTTCAGGTGTTTCAGTCTCTCTCTGTGAGACGTCAATATAAGAATGAGTTCAAACTTCAACAGCAAGTTAAACTTCCATATACAAGACACAAAGAGACACACATATATAAAATATATAGATAAGTGAAATTCATATGTGCGAACAAATTGATCAAATAAATACATCAACAGCAACCAAGTCTCATCCCTCCAAGTGAGATTGACAACATTGAAAATTAATCCAAGATTTGTAGTTTCGTTTCATAAACACATTCAATAAAATGAGTGTTACTACTAGAGAGTTTGGAGGCATCAGCCTCCTCACGCGCCCAAACACGCCAGTTTGTCTAGGAGGCTCCGTCAGGCATGTGTTATGCTCGTCAGCACTGTCTGGGTCCATTCCAGCTCTTGTTTGCTTCATGTTGAAAGAAGTTGGTTGTGTTTCTGGTCTTCCCATCTTCATTTGGGTTCTTTTCTCTTGTATTATTGTTGTATGGCATCAGTCATCCGAAAATTGTCGGAAAAAATGCACCAGTACATAAGGGCAAACCAGTGATTACACAGTTTGCCAAAAATTTGGTCACTGGGGACAGTGGATCCACCAGCTAGGTATGGTTTAAAAAATATACCATCATTAGGCTCTAAATACCATGTTAAGAGTAAAGAGCAGAGGCATAAAAGATGAGTTGAAGTTGTGTGTCTTACACTGCACATTGAAGCTTTATATAGTTTTAATTCATTCAATACACATGATTACAGGATATTTTTTCCCCTAAATAAGATATTATGTGCTTATAAACCTCTATACAATTATTACTAAATATCACTTTATTATTGATAACATATATAGTATGCAAGAGTAGGAACTCCTCAATGTTTGAGTAAACCAAATGCTACAAACAAGTTGCTGCGAAAGAGGCTGAGAATGTTAACAAACAAAGGATAACTCTTCACTTTCATACCACACATCAAAAAAAGTATTTGTACATGGCCTCGAATGCCGAATATGCACTTAACTAAGCTAGCAAATCCATCTGTGTAAAAACCCCAGTTTTCATTCGTATCATTTGGCCATTTCTTTGTTTTACCATTGGCATAGCTTTGATTAAAATTTGACTGAAAAATATGACAATAAGCATGGCATCTCACAGTCACATTCGGCAATCAGTCAACTGAGGTCCAATTTTACAAATATTCACCAAAAAAAAAAAAAAAAGATACAAGAATTCATTAGAAAGGAGAAACGAATAAAGGAAAAACAGTGAGAATATGCCAAACTAGAACTATGCTAAATAGAAACAGACAAGCTGACATTCATAAAATAACTAAAGCTTAAAAGATTAAATACGAACCAGGATCCCCATCAATGCAGTTACTCTTGAAATCACAAGAGGCAACTTAATTAGTTGGAAGTCTATATGAATACTCTTGTTTTTGATACTAGTATCAATATCATCATATATCCTTTCAACCCTGGTAAAAGGAAACAATTTGCAAACAAAGATATCAAATATCATAAATAAGGTTTATCATATACAAGAAACACAGTTCAATGCACTTCACTGTTACAACTGATACTTACCACTTCCTTCCCACATCATCTAATATCTCTGTCAAAATGAGTTTAATAGAATAGTAACACTCCTGAACAGCATACATCATATAATCATCTCGGGATATTCTATCCCAAATCTCTTCTCGAGTATCCTTACTCTCAACAGCAATATCCCTGGCCAAAAATATCTACACAATCATGCAAAAGAACAAATCAATGAATTTTACCAAAAAGAAAACATAAGAGGATGAACTTGGTTAACAAGAAAAGCAAACATAACATAAATACATATGCAAAGCGATCTGTGGTAAGTAGTACCCAGTTTGTGTTACAATTAGCATAACAAGGCACAGTTTCCCTCATAATCCAATAGTTAAAATTTACATATACAGATTTTTCAATAATATTAGATGAAAGCAGATATTTTTCTTGTTGAACAAACCTCTGTTTGCAACTAATACAAACAGAGCAGTATATATCAGAGAAATTTAAACCAAGTTTATCAGAAATGTACAATTCTTGATTCATATTGTACAATTTAATTATATTCTCGAAAACACCAACTCATATCAATACAAATCTGGGAAGGCACAAATTGTGGCTAGAGTGAGTGATGATTCTACTTCCTTGTGCATCATTCAGACAAAATTGTGTTCTCGAGAAACAAAGAATCTTTAAAAGCTGGTTGCAGCAAGCATTTAAGTAGATTAATTAAATGGAACCCGCATCATGTTATTAAAATTGAGTATCCAAAGAACTATAAAATAATCAGTGTTTAGGTAAGAAAGGAGAAAAGAGACTCAGAATAAGAGGATACCAAATTACTGTGGGACATTATGATGCGACACAAAAAAACAAAACAATAAACTGCATTATTGCTAGTACTAGTTTCATAAAAAGAAAGAATAAATAAATATTCATAATATTAATCGCATAAAGAAATATTATAAAACCTAAAAATTACTCCATAGATATAATAAAGATATTAAGATATAAACATGGACCAAATAGTCATATTCATCCAAGTGATCTAACACTCAAAAGATGACCTTTTAATCACAACTTGACAAACATGATTGAAATATTTGAATTACCTTGCTTGCAAGTAGAAAAAGTGGCCATTGAACCAAAGGGAGATCCCCAGAATTCTTAGGCATTAAAAGCAACTCCATTTCACTGTGAGCAAGAAAAACATATGCAGGTATTAAAAAAGGGAAGAAAATGATGAATAAAGCTAAGAAATGTGTAACAGTTTCTATGACTAACAAGTTAGTTATATAATCCTCCTCCCTTAGATTTCTTATGATCTCATTCCAAAAGGGGGCAAACCGAGCAGCATCAACCTTGTTCTTCTCCACAACCTTCATATGAAGAGAAATTGAATAAGTAAACAAAAAATGAAAAGGTGGTGACAGTTTTTTAAAAAAAAATGAATACAGAAGCAAACAGGCCCTAAACTAAATTATTTTTTGCTTTATCTATAGCAAAAGGCTGACCTGAACAGAAAACTGATGGGAACTCCTGAAAATATAAAATATTGAGGAAAACTATATAAGCTTACATAAACAACATAATCATTCAAGAGGGGAAACTGAAAGAAGAGAATGCATATTCTCAGAGAGCTACAATAGATATAGGACACATACAAGGACAGATATCTTCCAAATACAGAATGAAAATCATATGTAAAACAGGAAAAAGCACATTTCACAAGCAGCACCTGTTGGGTAGAGGAACATGAAGTGTGTCCATAAAAGCTCCAGGAAACTGCTCAAATAGTTTATGCAGTGCTTCCAATGACCTAATCTGGTGACCACATACAGCCACAAAAAAGGTTATACAAACAGATTTTAAATTGTAGAATGTACAGGACGGGATGACTAGCAGCAGGTAAAAGATATTAATAGTAAAATAACAGGGCATGTTACCAACAGGATTTACAGTTGGACAATCGCAACTTCTTAAAAAGACTACTTACTTCTCCCAGTCGATCTCTTGCCCCCAGTAAGAATCCGCAAACAGCCGATACAACTGTGTAAAACACATATATATCCAGAAGATAAATCTGAAAGAATGGGAATTAGCAAGTCAGAAACAGCAACCAAAACACTCAAATAAGGGGGAAGAGGGAAGCAATTTTACAGAACAGTTAAATTGAAGGTAACAGTTATAAACTAAATAATAGATAAATACAGTTTTTAAGAAATCAATGCATAACCAAAAATAGGACACCACTGTGTTTTTACACATCAACTAAAAGCTTATCTACTATTTAGTAACTATTAAACCAGTGAAATACATCACTCAGTACTAAGTTCAGCAACTCCTGAAGCTATAATGTTTCAAATTACAAGAGTTAAGCGTATAATATCTTCAAACTCCTGAAGATATCATTTTTCAAACTGCTCTAGAAAGAGCTTTTGGAAAACTTCTTTTGAATGCAAATAAAGCTAATCAAAACATGCTACTGAATATCAGAAATCCAGTTCCTGCATAACAGAAACATGTATATCTTAAGGATCTCTTGTAAGACAAGTTTTCCCCCACTAGAAAGAAAAATAAAACGGAACAAGATATCCCCCTTTTATGATTAATAAATTTGAATGGGGGAGGATGTAAACAAACAATGCCAATGTACTTACAGCAACCACGGGAGCCCATACACTAACAACTGTCAAAGCATTATGATTGTCTGCAACAACAAAGCCACTCTAATAATTAATGATACCAAAGAGAAAACACCAAAAAACATAACCACAGTCAATCACACCAGTGCTTACTTTTAGAGACAAAATCATGCCAAGAGTACTCTATTCTAGTCTCTTTTATAATATCCCTCGTTGGTTCCACCAGTGGCTTGATCTACAAACCACAAAAATAAGACAATTGATTGTCTGCTGTATATGTACCATCATACTCATGCATAAATGAAAAAATTATGTATAATTCCAAATTTGTATCTACAAGGGCATAGATAATGTAACTATCACTAACCTGAAGAAAGTAAGCAAACGAGAATTTTCCACTCAAAATAACAAGCCAAAACAGCATATACCTGAGAAAAGGAAGGGGTATCATAATCAGTGCATCAATGCACAACTTCAGCTTGCATATA